ACACTGACCATGCATTTATATGTGCTGATCTGCTGGTGTGGTTTGGCCGACTCGTTCGACGACGCTGTGAACGTGCCGACACCAGCCAGCTGGCAAAGCCAGGTATTTTGAATGCGTATCAAGGTACATTGACATCCGGGTTGAGCAAGTGCTCACTGAATACAGTTGATCACTGGTCGCATGTTAACTGGACCTCTTTAGAAGCAGGTGAATCCTCATGTGGTAAATTTTGATAGCCAACCTGGTCATTGGGTATATACGCAGTCTCTCGAACTTATCGATGCTCGCCGGCACATTGATGATGGGAGCGAACACGAGACTCATATAGACCTCAGGGCAAAGCTGTGTGCTAGTCTGTATAGCGACTGCGAGTCCTTGTGGTCTCATCGTGCGTCGGAGATGGAAGTGGTCACTGCCCTTGGTAGTAATACCAATATAATGTGTCAGCTGTACGCCGTAACGGCGCTTCGCTACCGTGCGACAACAAACAATCGCACGCGGGCTGAGTATACTGCGAGGATGTCCACCCCTACGCGGATTCGAACCCGCGCCGCAAGATTACGAGACAAGCTCGTTACCTCTAAGCTACGGGGCCTTGGTAACTATCGGAAGTTAATCCGTCTGATATGGGAGACGGGCAGCAGGAGACCTGGTGTTAGTGCAACTAATTATTATGAGAGTGGGCAGCCTATGCACAACTTGTCAAAATGCTTGGAGCGTTGTGCTGAGTGTTTTGAAAAACCATTTTATCGGCCGGAATTGTAAATTTCCTACTGGCCATTGATCATCCTGCTACGTAGGCTGTCCCTTTGAATCCGTTTTTCTCGCTCAGAAGTCGAAGTTGAGATCAGACCACTGAAGTTGAACAAGGTCGCTGGACCAGATAATCTTCCTCTGACCCTCTTCAAATTCGGAGACCTGCTCTTGTGGATGGTTTACAAGAGTTATTAGTGGAACTGTGGGAACAGGAAACTGTCCCAACCGACTGGAGCCGTTCCGTTGCTGTACTGATCTTCAAGGGGGGCTGACGTTCGGAATGCGACAACCATAGAGAAATCAATCTGATCTCCATTGCCTCCAAGTAACTTGCATCTCTCATCCTTCACTGATTGACTGGCGCCCCTGAAAGCCAGATTCGTGAGGTCGGGACTGCATCGATCACCTCTTTACGTCAACTGTTGGAGCACCATCACATATGTTAGCCGCCCACCGTTGTCGTGTTCCTCAACATCAAAGGTGCCTTCGGTTCAGTGAATTGACATGCTCTTTGAGACTGTGCTATAGAAATGTGTGCCCGAGAAATATGTAAACATTATCCGCGCGCTTTACGCGGGTAGCTAGGGCAGGATGAGGGCTTAAAGCAAGTTGTCGCAACCCTTCAATATCTCCAGCAGTGTAAGACTAGTATGTTTGCTGTCATCTTTCCTCTTCAACTTTGCTATTGACGAAGTCATGGAGATCGCGTTCACAGGACACGATCTGCAACGCGTACAGCCGTTCCAAGTCTACCGACTTCTTGACTTGGAGTATGCCGACAACATTGTCCTTATCTGTGATAACTTTCAAACGTGCCAGGTAGCACTGAACAAATTTGTATTGACTGCCAGTCGTTTCATTCTATGCTTTTTACCCTCGAAATGCAAAGTCCTCCAAGATTGGCAGGGATCCGCTTCTGCGCTGACCCTTGGTAAGGATCGACTTGAAGTCTTCGAGGAATTAAAGTATCTAAGCAGCTATATCAGCACCAGCGGAACTGAAGAGGAGGTCGCGAGTCGTATAGGAAAAGAGCAACACGCTTTTGCTAGCATTTGCCACCCCTGGCGTCGGCGCGACATTAATCTTTGAAGAGTATGGTTCACAGTGCAGCCGCGCGTTTGCCTCTACTCTACGGTTGTGGAAACTGTCCGATTAGCTCGGCAAACATAAAGAGCCTAGTTACGTTCGAACACCAGTGCCTTCGCAGTTTGGCTCGTATCTGGTTGGAACGTGCGCAATGAGCGTGCTCGACGTCTTGTCTAAGGCACAGGAAGAGGAAGCGAATCGGTCAGCACCGTTATTTCACGCACCAGGCTCCGATGGCTTGACCACGTGTTGCGTATGCCAGCCCGCCGACCCTCGCGACCTGCGTTGTTTACACGCTGGGATGTGGATGGAAGAAGAGGAGGCCAATCGATGACTTGGTCAAGGAAGGTGAAGGCCCTTAGTTCGCTTGGTGCCTCTCCGCTCCCTGTTTGGGGTCCGCAAAACGATGAACAAGTTTGGTTAGATGCAGTTTGTTGACATAGCTAAGAGCCGATCTCTGTGGCGTTTGTGTTGTGAGTTTCTTTGTCCACCCCCTCCAACGGAAATCCCGTTTCTGACACAACATTTTTTTCGGGAAATAGCCGGTTATCAGCTTTCCGGAACAACATCCATTCATTCCCAGTAGCTCAGCTGGCATGCCTCTGTTGCATATTTTTATTCTTTTTATGTATTGCGGTACAACAGTTGAGGTGTTTCCCACCCTTGCTAACGTATACAATGGTGATCATGGTGATTTCGTCTAACCATTTTACATCCTGATAGGAGTAGCTCTCAAGGGGCCCAGAGCCACACTCAATATAGCTCAAAAAGGTCAAATAGGTACGCAGATCGTCGCAACACACGTTAATACCCAGTCTCGTCACGATGGCCTTAATCAAATGGCCGCCGCATACACTAATTTTTGGTTAACTTGCCTTTCTGTGGCGCACCTCCAAATGCTTTCCTTTTGATTTTGCTTACTTTGACGCACAGTTTGACTTTTTTTACATATCCCATGTTATTTACTAAACATTTATTGACCGTCGGGCCATTTTCGCTCTTTGTTCTCATGTGTTTTGGTCTTCTTTAGGGGAAATATCTAGAAGATAATTTCACAAGAGGTATGCGATCGTTCGGTTCTGGGAATATGGACAAGAGAAGGGTCGCAAGCAATAAACGTAAGTCGAGCACTCCTGTATGGCGTTTTGTAAATGATAAATAGTACGGTATAAAGCACCCCTACCATACATACAGACTGCGCTTATGCTATTCTCATCTGTCGTTTTCTCTTTGAATACCGATAACACCTGTTCTCTTCTCCACTGACTTGTGTGCAAATATCGATAATTGTTGCCCCGACCCTATGATCAATCAGCGTTTCTTTATCACCCCTCATTGCCTTATCAGCATTATGCTTTCTTTGACTTGCCTCTTATGCCGTCCATACGCCATCCAACATTTCTCTCACCGTCTGTTATTTTGGCGGTTTTTAACAAACTTGACGGAGTCCCGATATTGTTTCCTATTTTCCAAGTTAAGCCCTGCGGCCTCTCTAGGTTTGAGGAACTCTCTTTAGCAGCCTTTTAGTTATCTTAATATTCCACTTCATTGTCTATCTCGTGCCCGCATTGCAGTTTCCATGAGTATCTCATCTCTTAACTCAATTGGATATGATGGACTTTGTTGCTTCCTGTGCTCATCAACCACCGACTAAATGGTTTCGATCTCAGTGATTGTTTCCTTTTCCATTTGACGGCGATTTTTAACCATACACTACAGTATAACCTTCGCATCGGAACTAAACCTTGCTACAGCGTTGAGTACGATAGTGACGCGTACATCGTTTCTTGAATTCATGTTGCAGCGCCACTGACTTTTTTCTTCCCTGTCGTGTAACTGGTGTTTCACATGGACTTGAACACAGCGTTGTTTTTACCCTTTTGCACTGCGGTTGATTTCACATTCACCATACTAGTTTTTCATCTTGTAAAGCTTCTTTAACCCCCCCTCCCTACTCCACAGGCTCCGAAGACAACGTGGTTCAAATTGTTCGGCTTCTCAAACATCGGAGTCTGGAACCGATAATTGTTTTCAGCTTCAGTAAAAAGGAGTGTGAAATCTACGCACTCCAGTTGGCCAAATTCGATTTCACCACAGGTGAGAATCACTTATCTTTAAGTGGTTATGTTTTCTTCAAACAAATCAGTATTCCAACTAATCCTTGCCCCCCATGGCATATCCGGTGCCAATTGCATGCAATCTGTGTTCTCATATCACTCGCATTTTTCTTGACGACTCTACCAACTAACTAAATGAATTACAGACGTCTTTGTTCCATTTGACTTAGCTTCCCTATGGCTCCACATCGATCATATCATGTGCTTCCAGCGTCAATCCACTATCTGTACAAATCCCCGCTCTTGTATGGGATTGGACGCATTTACGATACCATGATCCGGATTTTGCTGTTCGACTTTTTGCAAGCGAACCACCATTGCGGAGTGCTGATGTAATGCTGCATATACTTCGTACCTAGGGGCGGTGTGGCGATCACTGTTCCACCTATCACACTCAGATCCGGTCACATCATGCTATGGAGAAATTGTGCTAGATTGTCAGATGACGATGCTGTTAATTCTGAATGGGGCTAAGAACAGTACTCTGGCAAGCGGCATCCGTTAAATTGGACCAATGTGCCACACATTCTTTGATCGCAGGGTGTTACTGCATTTATGGATTGCCGTTTCAACAATTATCTAGCGAAAGCCTAACTACTGTCGCTCTTAACGACCACTTACCCGATTGCTTTCCTCGGGCTGAGGATGGCTTTTGCTTCGTTTAGTTGCTTTTGCTTGTGGCGCTTTTTCCGTCTGTTAAAGCCATGCCACAAAGCTTCTTTTGACTGTGGAACTTTTGCCCAGCCGCTTCTGATGGTTGTATTCAGTACTATAGGGCACCGCCACACGGTGAGTGTGGTGGCTCATTGTTACCTCGTTTTCCTACCTTTTTAACTATGTGACCAATGTGTCCTCGGACGCTTCCACACCGAGTGCCCACTGCTGTGCCAGAATCATGCATATCGTTTCCCCTTGCTAAAACTGTGTCAACACGGTACACCAGTACAGCATATCGATGCTTCGCTGCCGTGCACGCGGGTTGGAATACTTCAGGAGCGCTCAGTTTCATGCAGGGACGGGGGTCTAAAACCCGTGACGTAGAGATTGAAGGTCAACTACTTGAATCCTTACACTGCCGATCCCCGGCAAGTTAAAACGGCTGGCCTGGGTTGTTAGCTGGCTGTGTGGCTAGAGCTTCACGCTAGTCGCAAGGCCTCTCACTGTGGATTCCCACAATTGTGCCTACCCACACACGAGGTGTGAGCAATCTTTCAGTGAGGTGTGAATTCGGTTTGAACTGGTGACGCCACACAACGAAGCTGCAACACATCATTGGACAAACTCGGGCCACTACTACAGTGAACTAATATCTTGAACAAGGATCCTTCCATCATAGTGTCTTCCGATTATGATTACTCAGACTGCATCTTAGATGCGCAACTCAAAGATTGGACTGTAACGCAGTGCTATAACTTGCCCCTCTCTTACAGATCTTTCTGATGATGGGGAATCTATGACTTGTCAGAAATGTTCCACAACTGGTGTCATAAAAGGTTCATTTCAAACCATACCATACTTTCTTATGAGTAGAAGGATTTTGGTGAGTATTTTTGTTCGTCGCATTCAGCTGACAATTCAAACAAGTCAACTACCTAGCCGGAAAAGCACCAGACCGCCGTTTCGCCCTGTTGGGGCTCGTCACTGGTCGCATCCTTCGGTCCTCTGCAGAGGATCGAACCCATGACTGCTAGTGGCTCTTGCCAACTAGCCCGCAGCAACTGCTCCATGGAGGACGGTAGCCGACCATCACGAATTGTTAGCTAACTGCGATATAGCCCGACCCATCCTCCACTGCCATGCAGATGACAGCGGTTGGCCTTCCGGTGTCAGGACTTCCCGGTTACGGCAGCTATGAATCGACATAGCATTTATGGAATCCGTAAGGGCGAATTTGTATTACTTATGAATAGAAGGATTTTGGTGAGTACCCTTTACTTCCAGACTGCTTCTTGCGTTCATGCAGTATTTTTATAAGTCGACGCAGTTATACAAACCTAAACCTCTAGATACTCTGCTCGACTTCTACACTCAACATACGGTTCACTCATTTGGAGGTGTTTGGATGTTGCTCCTCCCAACACTCACATTCCACCTACTCATTTTATGCATTTTCCTCTCCATTTTTTAATTTTGAGGCGCTTTGTTTCCGAGCTTCGAATTCCACGACCCGTTCTTAGCTTCCATGTCCATCATTTGTCTCGGCTGTGAATGACCGGCTGTACCAAATCCGGCGTCGTGGCCGGATGGCATTGATCTTCACTAAGATGGGGGAAGCAAAGGTGGTTTACATCTACTCACACTATCCCTGAAACATCTTCGTCTTGTACCGATGACGACACCAAAACGCATCTCAGTGGTGACTCATTTCGCCAAACTAGGTTTTTTAGTCCCGAAGGTTTGCAGTCACGCTGTAACAATCCGGGATGTGAGAGGGGTTACAGGTTGAGACAGTCAGCACATCCATCTTGACATCGACACAACTCATGCGTATACCGTTGCATGTCACCACGTTTATCTTTTCCAGACACATCGCGATACAGTCTCCATATCCAATTGCTCCCATGGTTCTTCTTGTGGCACCTCTTTACGTGGCCCTTTCTCGTTCACATTGTTTCAAACCGTTGATGTGGTCCGCGGCTTGTTCCTTACCTATCGTGTTTCCAGTTTATACCACACTACTCGCTCCGGACGCAGTAGTACTTCCTGCGCACCACAACACGTTGCGTTGAGGTCTGTGCGCTTTTTTCATCGATACGCTTTGTGGGCCGCACAAGTACTAACCACCGTAGTCCACACCATATGCAATCGGCCTACCTTTATCTATCATGTGGCCTTCTCTCATTTTCTGCGCAAGTTGGCTGCGTCTTCAGTGCAAGGAGACCCGTGCATTGCAGTTTAAAGACGGCTAATTCGGCCGATGGAGCACTATGCACCGTCCAGCACTATGGAATAAATTATCACACGTTGTTGTTGCGCCCTTATTATCGCTTCCCTCTCCTATTTAACCTCTATTCACGTCCCAAGTTATGTGCAAGCTCCTTTTTCCTTTAACAGACAAACACTAACTCATCCTTGATCTTATCATCGTCACTTCGTTCTATGACATCTTAGAATAATAGAATTTTGACCTAGGTGGATAATCTATTTGGCCGCAAAAGTACCTTGCGATTTCACTCAGTACATTTCGTGTTGCTCCACTTCAGCCCAAAATGTTGTACATCCGATAGTTTCTTTCTGCACTTCGTACTTTGATACATCTCTTGGTTTCCCTCTGATCTCTTTTATTCATCTCCAGATGCTGAGAAAAAGGTGGTCGATGAGGTGTTCCGAAACGCTATCGATGGGCTATCAGCAGAAGATAGAGCTCTACCCCAGGTGGAAAGCGTTCTACCTCTACTTCGTCGTGGGGTCGGCATACATCACGGAGGATTACTTCCCCTGTTGAAAGAGACCGTTGAGATTTTGTTCGGTGAAAACCTGATCAAGGTGACCCATTCCTGCCTCCCCCATGCAGTGTTCACACAAGCGTTACCTTAGAATCTGTCCTTTTATCCGTTTGGTATTCCGAAGTCACTTTGATGCGTTTGTGTGACAGCTGCAGTGTGCCGGCTTTAGTCATGCGCTTCATCGTGACACATTCTAAAGGCTGATGACTGAAAGCATAGCGCGCCCGCGTCGCAATCCTGAGGTCATCATTTTGAATCCGCTTAGGTGCGAGCGACCTCACGGTATACCCAGCCCACTCGCGCGACTTACGGTGATCGCGTGGCAGCGAAGCGTCAGTACCATATGTCGGCGTACTGGCGATGTCTTTGCCTTGGTTCGCCGACACAGCCTTAAGCATCACCAGTCTGAGGGCGCGGGTGCGAGTCTGCGTAGGAACTAGGAGATCGTCGCAGTATCCTTGGCCCACGTGCGACAGGTGGTGGTTGCGCGGCACCAAAATGTCGGTACTGCGTACCGGCGTACTGTTGATGCCTTAGTTCGGTAAACTTCTATCGATTTTTTGTTCTTCACTCGCATGTTGCAATTGAGCTGTTTTCTTTCTCACTGTGATCTTTGCATTGGTGTGGCTAGTAGCCGGGTTTTATCGGTCACACGATGGATATGCGGCGTCCATTGCTAACCTTCATGCCTTACCGCGTTTTCCCGATAAGAACTATTTGAGTGGCTTTCGTCTCTGTAGCAAGATCCCATGCTCGTTTCGCTTTATATAACGTCACATGCATGTTTACGAACACTTTAACCCTCTAATATTAATAATAACGTTGGGAACAGATAATAATGCATACTTCTCGATGAGACGAGAAGCAGTTTCGTTTATGTAGTCTGGTTATCGTACAGGTTTTACGGTTCAGGAATCTTAGGTAGGGTCCAGCAACGTCATAAAAATAAGCATATTCGCATCACATCTAGTCGTTCGTCACTGGGTGGTCATCCTCCTCCTCCTCCTCTTCATCATCATTGTTCTGATAACTGGTTGCTCTGTGTAGCTGCATCTAATATCACTCAGGGACAAAGACCCGTCATGTTGTGTTGCGCTCGATATATTTTATGTCGGCAAAGTGTTTGTCCAGGAATTTCTTAAATTCCGACACCGACTTCGCCTCAACTACGTGCTGCAGCAGGTCGTTCCATACATTTACCACTTTGCGTTCGAAACAGAGTTGGTGAGCGACCCGCTTCAAATCCGGTACGACAAGCTTGTACCGGTGTCCTCGTGTGCTACTTGGTGTGCGCAGAGGAAGCAGCGGTCTCAACATGGGGTAATCTCCCAGGTGTAATATTCGGTGCATCATGATGAGATCAACCCGCAGTCGACGATAAGCAAGGGTGTACAGCCCTAGTTTCTTACACCCGTCTTCATAGGGCACACCTCGTAAGTTGGGAATCAGCCTGATGGCTACGTGCTGCACTCGCTCAATCTTTTCTACCTCGCCCCGGGTGATAGGACAATACATGGGAGAGCCATACTCTAGCGTTGGTCGTATTATTGAGACGAAGAGGCGAGTGACAATCTCTTCGGACCAACTGCTGAAGCTGCGCCTGAGCGCCCAAAACATCCGAAGACTGTTTTGGTAAAGTCTATGGACTTTAGGTCATAGCGTGAGAGTACACCATGATCTCGCACGAAAGGCGCGGGATGCAATGGTTGACCTGCCACCGTGTAGCTTCGACTGTGCCCACACTTACCCAGCGTCATGAATTGCGTCTGCAGAGCAAGTGGAGAGGCGGTCGAGATCCTGCTGAAGCAAATCACAACCACTGGGTGATCGGATTACTCTCCACACCTTCAAATCATCTGCGAACAACGCACAAGGCGAATGGAGTAGCTGAGGCACATCGTTTACATGGATCAGAAACAAAATCGACCCCAGTACAGTGCCTTGAGGCACGCCACTGCTCGATGAATACCAGTCGGTTAAATGGTTGTCCACCTGGACTCTCCAGTTTCGATCAACAAGGAAATTCTTGATCCATCGATACAGCAACCCGCCAATACCACACACCCTCAGCCTGTCGAGGAGCACTGCATGCTTTACCTTTTCAAAAGCCTTACTGAAGTCAATGTAAATGACGTCAACCGACTTGTCTTGGTTCAGCGCTTGTAACCATTCGTGCCTCGACAACGGTAGGTTGGTGATGCACGAGCGACCTTTCACGAAACCATGCTGTGCGGGCGTCAAGAGGCTTTTCGACTTGAGAAGCTGTAGAAGACTCTTCTTCACGATCTTCTGGAACGTCTTTGCTAAAACAGCGGTCAGACAGATCGGCCGGTAGTTATCCACTTTGCTTGGGTTACCACCTTTCGGTATTGACTTTACGACTGAGCTTTTCCAGTCGCCCGTTAATAGTCTAGTGGATAGTGACCTGTTGAACAGCTCAGTTACAGAAGGCGAGATGATGGCCGACAGGGACTTGAGAATCAGTGGGTGGATTTCATCTGGCCCGGCAGGCTACGTACCGTCAAGACTTGCCAGAAGCTTGCGTACATCTTCAATGCTGCAGTCCAGGCTGTGTAGTTCAGCGGGAGCGGTACTCGTCGAACTCGTTACAGACATCTGGTCACTTGCAAATACGGAGGCGAAGTGCGCCGCCAATACGGACGCACGATCAGTGCTCGAGGTTAGTAGCTGTCCATCTGAGCCTGGCACATTGCCTGCAGGCCTCAGGCGCCGCTTCACGTATGCGAAGATTCTCTTGGGAGCAGTTTTTGCGGCGCTTGCAAGCTGCTCTTCGAAGCTTCTGCGCTTTTTTCGCGTTGTTGCAGCGATTTCGCTGTACCTTGTACGCCTTGTAGTCCTCATCAGAATCAGATAACACGAATTTGTTCCATATTCTCCGTCGTCGTCGGGCCAGTTTGCTGTACTCCTTGTCGAACCAGTGTGGTTTGACTGGCCCAACTTCCCGATACTTGAGGGGTGCAAATCGGGCGCACAACGATTTCACTCCCTCTCTAATGATAGTCCAACAGGTTTCAGTGAACAAATCCTCTGGTAAAGACCAGTTCATCTGGCTGGCTGCTCGAGTGAGGCCATTAAAGTCCGCCTTTCAATGGTTGAAGGCTGGCTCCAGCAGGGGAGTGCACGGCAGCGGCATTTCCAAGCTGGCTATGATCATTGAGTGGTCACTCGCTCCCAAGGGCTCCAAGAGTTGAATGTCATGCACACGTTGCTCACAGCTAGTCAAAATCAGGTCTAAGCACGATGGGGTCGCGCGCGTAGTTATGCTCGTCCGTTGGTTGATGCGCTGTGTGACCCCGGTTTCAAATATCAACTCGGTAAACTTCCTCTCAACTTCACACAGGCCGATGAGAAGATCAGCCTCAGGCCACTGTATTCGGGGTAAGTTGAAATCGCCCATCAGTATGAACAGCTGACGACTTGGTTATGGACAAGCGGCAACCAGTCCAAACAGCGGCTCAGTGGACTGCGATATACCACGCCCACGATACGAAGCTTAAACTAAGTACGTCGTACGAAAACTAAACTAGAAACTACGAACAAATAAACTTAGACTTAACGCACGCTCTTTGCGTTTTGGAAGACAGGATGACGTGCTGGGTCCAAAGTCGCTGGATCTGCATTCCGGACACAGGTTACCGTCAGCTTGCAGGCCGGAGCGAAACGCCTCCGATTGAGATCGAACCCGGGCACCGACGGACAGACCGAGCTACGGACGCAACTCTCGGACTGCTATTAACCGGCTTCAATAAAGACGATCAGATGGCAACTTCGGGCAGAAGCACACAATCGTCGGCCGGAATGAATCGCGCTTGTTCATTAATAAGCGCATTCGACTCAAATTCAGGTTCGCAGTGGTCCTTAACATCAACCGTCTTCGCCTGCAGCATGCGCATGCTCGTTAAAGCCAACTCCAGCAGACGAATACGGTATTCAGCTCTTTGAAGCTTCTCAACATCATCCAGCGAATTACCAGAAACGGACATGATTGCA